CTTGTAGGACACTCTTGTGGGACACTCTTGCGGGACACTCTTATGGGGCACTCTCTTGTGAGACACTCTTGTAGGACACTCTTGTGGAGCACTCTTACAGGACACTCTTGGACACACGCTTCGAGGCTGCAAGACGAGCGTTTCGTACGAGACTTCCTCCAAAGGTCACACGTCAAGTCTCCAAAACAAGCGTTTCGCACACCACACGTTTGGAATGATTTCGACCCGTTCTGAGCACACTCCCATCCACCAAAATCGCCACTTCAGCTGAGACTTGTCACGAAAACAGAGCTTCGATGCCACACCGTGAAACGCAAAGCCCAATGGCACGGCCACATCCAACACCCCAAAAACACGACTCTCCAAACGCTAATCCCAATGGAACTGCGCAGCAAACTGCGGATCTCACAAAACGCTGCGCCTGCGCAGTGAAATCATCCTCCACACTTCAACATCTTACAGTACATTTCCACACGATTCCTCGCTATTTCACACGAATCTGACACGTCACGTTTTCATCCGAAACCCTCTCCAAAAGCTTCCCCCAATTGCAGCGCCTTAGCGCTCTACTGCGGACGGTTGCGGATGGTTGCGAACGGTTGCGGACGGTTGCGAACTTAGAAACAACGGGTCGCGAACAAGGCTCTATCGCCAGACCCCGAAATTTAAACGAGAACCCTTCGCTACGCATTCGGGAAAAAGGACATATTTTGCACTCTTATCAGCTTAGACATAGTACTCTTGCCACTGCCTCCGCGAAGTGTTCGGTGTTGTGCTGAACCAGCCTTGCTAAGCACACAGTGTTTGAGGAATAGACCTGTATCTCTGCAAAGCAATTGCACTAGCCTCAGGTCCTTCTCAGCACCTATTTATCATACCGTTTTTTTCTACCTGATCTGATCTCTTCTACCGTCGAATCAGAAGCCGAGCCTCGTGAACACGTGACGTCTCCTGCAACAGCTTGCAGCTTGAGCATCATACAGCCATGTTGCAGTGGTGTTTCTTCTCCTTGATATACTTGTCGATCAAGTCGTCACCTTCAACTCGGATCTGTCGAAACTCCGTGTTGCTTCCGACCTGGCTCCCACGCCACAGAGCAGCACTTAGGAACGCTTGCACATACGAGCTGCGAGAGGCTGGCCTGGGCAGTCCCTTCTGCAGCCAGCACGGCTGCCCTGGTCAAACCATCCCAGCACGCTCAACTAGCCAAAAACAGTTGTATCAGATTCTGGGAGCAAAGCAATGCCAGTAGGTATCGCACCTCAATCTAGACTGTGTTCCTTGCCCACTCTGAAACCAACGATATGTGGAATATGAGACACATGAGATGCCAAAAACAACCCGCCGGTGCGGGAACTCAAGGCCCAGGCCATTCTACACTCTTCGTTTCTGCAGGGGGGCACGTCTACGCCCTTCATTAAAATTGTCAGAGCCAAGCCATTCAGCGCCATCCGAGTCTTGGGCATTTAACATGGGCATTTAACAAGTCTTGCATTGACAATGAAAACAAACAAAAGGAAAACAAAAGGGCCACATGTCAGGCTCAATTTCCCTGCTACACTTCTGGCAGGCAAATCTGCAGGAGAACTTGCCCAGAACCAGCACATTCTGCTCAGAGCTTCTTGGACTTACTTACTTGATAGAACTTCGTTTCAAAGCGGCAAGTTGGCAAGTTCCAGGCTGCAATCAATTGCGCCCATGGCAGCTTGAAACTGCACTTTGTACAAGTTCCACAGCTTCTCAGCTCTGGATTCAGATGAACACCATTGCCCGCACTGACCATGTGCACCGCTCTTTGGTACAAATTTGACTTCGCACATTTGGTTTGTTGCAAAGCAGCCTAGGCCTGGACATTTGACAGGCGCATTCCATCTCAAACCAGTGCATAGGCGATGAACGTATGCAAGGGACATATGAGGGCAATCCCTGAAGCATTCCACACTCTGAGCCCTTTAGATCGCACTCACACTTCACCATCTTGGCTTTGAGTAAGTTCTTTCCCAAGAGCAAAATGGTGCAAGTAGGATTTTTGGACCCTAAAGGACACACACAATGTGAAACCCACGTGGAGGCAGAGCATCTGCTCTTGTCCGAGACAATCGGATTCTCATTTGCTGAGATGTCGTACGGGCTCAAGCCCTCGCGTGGAAACACTTCAACAGTCTATGCTATGCAAATGGTATTTTCAAACGACCCAGCCTCTGGGGTGTGTCTCTTCGCACATTGCTGATCCGCCTCTTTTGATAAAATTCCCTGGCACAAGTCTAACACCCTGGTCACTGTAAGTACTAAAACAAAAAGACATGGAGGCTCCACGAAACATTTCTTTCTTTGGGTTGTGCAGTGCGCGCAGGTTCTTTCAGTGCCGTCTTCTCACCTGAACATCACACGGCGACACACCACAGTGACATCACGAGGTTCGCGCCAGCCTTGTGGCTTCTGTCGCCCCTGCAGTCACAAGGTCTGAAACTGTGACAGTAGGTTGGAGGTCATCGCTACTAAGGTAGAGGCCATCGCTATCAATTCACAGTGTTCAACATGAAACTCATGGATTGTAACATCGCCTCCTGTCCCTGTGGCCCCCAGGCTTCTGAATATCTTCGCCTAAGGCTTCCGGTCCAAGTCCTAGTGCCATATCAACTAAAAAGTGATGTTGGTTCGCAGAACGACTGAACGACTAAGCACTTCACACCCAAAAAGGGTTCAGATTGCTTGGTGGCTGCCAAGCCCAAGTGCTTCCAGCGCAGCCGACCAAAAATTCCCTGTCAACTGCTTCCAGCGTCCAGCCGCTAAACTCTCTGACGGGTCTTGAAATGTTTGACAATATTCCGGCCTCAAGCATGTAAGAAAAACGAACAAGCTGCTCCACACGATGACGTGGCCTTTGACCTGAAACGAATTTCAGCTTACTTCAATGGGGGAGATCCGAGAGACAGTCTCAAGTCTGACAAGTGAAAGACAAAATGGTGACTTTTGCATGGCAAGTAGGTTGGAGGCCATCCCTACTAGGGTGGAGGCCATCACTAGTCATCGCTAGTAGGTTGGAGGCCATCGCTAGTAGAAAATACCAGTAACTTGTTTTTTTAATTTGTCTCTTGCATCTGAAAGCAGCCACCCAGGTTCACGGACCCTTGTGTAGGTGTCAAATTGCTGCGGCTCATAGACGTGCCTTGCACTCTGGTCAAGTCTGCCCGGGCCCTACTCTAAACTTAAACCCAGTCTCTGTGCGAAGTCTCACAAGCTGGCACCTGGATGCTCTGCTTCCCTCTCTCCACACGTGGTGCCTAGAGACACAACTCTGTCACCTGCTGGCAACCTTCTGAAAATATGTTCAAGGGATGACAAGTCCGCTTCACAGGCACGGCAGAGTTTCTATCAAAGAAACTGCTTTCGCTGTGGTTGGAATTGTTCAGAAAAGCTCTTTCCAGCAACAGCTTGCGGCACCCCCAATGGAAAGCTCCTTTTCCTCATATTCGCCCATGCACTAGCAAGCCACGCAAGCAAAGCAAGCGATGAATGTGTTCATTGGCGAAGCAGTTCAGTGGTGAAGCTGTTGAGGTATTAAAGTGGTAGGCTAGCTTGGCAGCTGAGTGTTAGTGGGGAGTTGGCTGCTTGTTAAGCGAGCTAATATGTCTTGACATGGCAAAAAGCATAAGGTATTCGGATGGCTCAGTGGTGAGGCAACAAGGGGTTGAGCAGCTCATGGGTGAGTTGAGTGTGCCGAGTCAAGTGGCCAAGTGGTAAGTTGGCAGTCGTGAACTTGCCAAGTCTTGAACTGGATTTGCTTTCTATTGTTGGCCCGCCCTTACTTAATTAAGTAGGTGCCTACTTAATGAAGCAAGGGAGTAAACAAGCCGCTGCTACATGGACGCTACTACCTACCCGACGCAGGATAGCTCATGCTTCGTCCCCTGAGGGCAGGGAAGCTTCCTCGAAGAAGCGTTCGGACTAATGATTTGGTTCCTAGATGTTTAGGGAAACTAGCCGGGAACATTGGCAGTCACTTGCACTTGCAGAGTGAAATGCCGGCTCAGGCAACCAAGTGCCAAAGCTTGAAAGAAACAAGGAGGGATGTGCCCCAACTGCCTGAATGCAGGATGGGCACTTGCATGTTGGCCTCAAGCCAGTCAAGTCAAGCATTTCATAGTGCAAGGAAGCTGCAGGAAGAAGTCCCGTTGTGCACTTGGCTCTGCACTCGCACCATACGTTGCAGCAGCCATGATTGGATTCACCTCACATTCACCAAACTGCCAAAGTCGCCAATGCAGCTCCAAGGCATCTCCGCTACTTGACATCCATATCTAAGGTAAGGGCTCCAGCCTCTAAAAGGGTCAATGCCTGTGCATTCATGCAGCCTTTCCTTCACCTCTGTTGTACTTTGACGGATTTCAGAAATTGGACTATGGGTGCCTCGTCGTACTCAGTGCTAAGCTTGGCAAAGTGCTCCTGAGCTTGAGCCTTTTTGTCAGCAGGTGCTAGATCAGGATGTTGCACCTAGCACAGCTTTTGCAAGCAATGCAAAAACCCTGTGATTGGCAGCTGAGCTCACCTTGGCTCTTTCCCGATAGGCAGCTTTCAAAGTATTCACAGCAGCCTTCGACTCCTTCGGTAACAACAGCGGATCATCTGATTTTGAAGCTGCCAGCAAACTGATTCAATCTCCTGCTTGGAGATCTCAGCCGGACACAAACCAAATGTTCGAAGCCTTAGCTTGTGCATGTGCAAACACCAACACAAAATGACAAGAAAGAATGCAAGGGCCCAGGCTCGTGCCTGGCTCTACAGTTACAGTACTAAGAGCTTCACAAAGTAGCCAAACGTGCAGCTTTCAGTCCTGGATAAAGCCGCATAAGAACCCGTTCATTTCGCTAAAGTCTTCAATCTTTTGGAACTTTATCCCTCTATATTTCCTGCCTGGTGCCATCGATGCCAAACTCGTCAGCTGGGGTATGGGACATGTACAACGTGCAATTTCACCTCCCAAGCTTGCTCCTCGTGCAATTTGGCAAACCCGAAAACAAATTCTCTAGTTGCATGTGAACATTGGCTGCAAACCTGTGGTCTGCGTGCTTGCTCCTTGCTGTGGCAAGATCTTAAGTTGTCCATGAAGTTCTGCTTCAGCTAGAGCCTTTAACTGATCCAATCTTGGCAAGTTAAGGTTTCTTTGGCTGCGTTCCCTCAGGTAGAAATTGGAGTTTGGAGAATGTTGATACTTCCGTCCGAGAAGTTGCACAAATTTTGACACTTGAGCAGAGATCAAATGAGGGACGCACGAATTGCAACTAGAGAGCGCATGTTGGTTCGAACAAGCTTGCTTGAGCACATGTGTCGTGATAGATTGGCATCAATTTGCGGCAGTTGACGTGCCAAAGTATTTCAAGATACTCTTCTGTTAAGCAAAGTACGAACAGCATGCTTGGAATATTTGGCAAAGCTTCATGCGAGGACGTTCATAATTATCTGACAGCTGACCGCACTTTCCACCACTGCTCACAAACCCTTTATCTCACGAGCGTGACCTTGGAAGCTGCGAACACCACACCAGCCAACAAATGCAAAAATCACAATATTTCAGAATATAGGAGCAAGGACGCTACTAGAGGCTCCTGGCCTTACTACTAGGAACAAGGACGCTACCAGTAGCTCCTGGCCTTACTACTAGGAACAAGAAGCTACTAGGAGCAAAGGGCATCGCTACTAGTCCACAAATGTTGATTAGCAACAAACACCTACAAAGCACCAAACCTCGCTTCTGTCATCCCTCATTTGCATGCGCGTTGGTTGATTCTCACAACTTTGAATATAAGGCCGCTTGAATGTGTTGTTACTTCCACATTAGTCTAAAATTGCCACACTCTGCCATCAATGCATACCTTTGCATTTTGTCCATCAAACCAAGTTCTGCAAACCAGACCCGAGTACTCTCCTAAATCAAACATTGAGCTAGCCGGGTGCAAGCTGTTCCGTCGGAAAAATGTGTCATTTCATTCGCGATGCTGCACAAACGTCGGCTGAGTATTGAACTGTAGGGTCTTTGTCAGAGCAGTATTCTGCCATTCACAGGATAGCTCATACTATCATAGGAGCCTGTTCTTAGGCTTGCTCTATCTGTAAGAGCTGAGAACAACTTTGGAAGTTCAAGACTAAAACGAAGGTCGTTGTGCTTTGACAAGTTAACTCGCCAGGATGACCCTCTGGAATGCTACTCAAAGCCTTTCGGACAAATGTTTCCCAAGCTCAAGTGGCCCTGCCTCCTTACTCCCTGCCTCGCGCCTACTTAATTAAGTAATGGCGACTAGTTATCTACTAGTAACTAGCTCACCCTTCTTCAAGGAAGCTCCCCCCGGCCTGAGCGTGGGTCGGAGCTTCCTTGAAGAAGCGCTCGCACTAATGATTTGGTTCCTAGATTTTAGGGAAACTTCCGTACGTAACAATGATCAGGGACAAACTCCAGCCTGCAGCTCTAGATCATCACCATGTCCGTTGCATCCAGATCCAGTCTCACTGAATCGCTCAACCAAACGCAAACACCTCAGCGCAAATCGCAATGTACTCTTGGGGAAATTGCACCATGTTGCAATTCTGTAGAAAAATATCCTCTCCTGAGAAGTTTACAGCCACTGCTGCAACTAGACACACAAGGGGAGATACTGTGGTAGTGCAACAAATGCATGCGTTGCAGGCATGAGGTGTGCGGCAACAGGGTTGACTTGAAGTTGGAGAGTTGGCTGGTGAACCAGGCCACAGCAAAAGGCATCTCACAAAATGTCAACCTGAAAGAGACACCAAGTGCTGTGAACCATCTTCAGCCGGCCGTCTGTCCATCTCAAAGAGTCCCAACTTTTCTGCAAGATGCTGCAAGCCTTCTTGGTTGTTGGGCAGGGTGGATGGTATTCTCAGTATCTTTTTGAAGCCGTTCCTGATTGGCTTGCCACCAGCCCAACACGCGGGTCACTAAATGCACTCTTCCTGATTGAATTTTCTTATGCTCAATGCTCCTAGTAGCGATGCCAGGAGCCCCTAGTAGCTTCTTGTTCCTAGTTTTAAGGCCAGGAGCCCCTAGTAGCGTCCTTTGCTCCTAGTAGCGATGCCCTTTGCTACTAGTAGCGCCCTTTGCTTCTTGCAATGAGAGTTTCCACAGATCGGCCAGCCATTGCCGATGGCCACCATGTATCATGCACTGTGCTGTGTGGTCTGTCGAGTAACTTCGCCTGATTGCAGGTGAAGCTTTCTGCGTTTGTCAATTATATATATATATATATATTTGAAAAATATTGAACCCATCTGCACCCAAACGCGTGCCCTCAACTTCTCCATCTCGTTAGATTGCTCTCAACTGTCTGTGTGCGCACATCTCTGTACCTTCTTTTTTGAATGCAACTCACACACAGCGGACAGAATCTTCCGAAAGCTAGAAAATACTGCTCAGCTCTGAAACCTGTAACTGAGTGAATCGCAATCGCTTCCACGGCATGGCGCCGCCGGAAGCTTCCAACTCTTCATCGACAGCTCGCTTCCAGCCTGGGGGCAAAACCGACAATGGGGTCTTCCATGCAAAACACAAAAACTGCACACATCTACTAGCTGGTCTTCCATGCAAACCGATGAAAACCTTTTATGCGCCGACGCATGTCTTGAACTTACCTATATACTATATATTGAGAATCCACAGCAAGTGCTTTTGCACTGTCTGAAGGTCCAGCCAGGCCATGCTTTGGCCTCAAACAGAAGCTGCAATTTCCACAGCAAATTGAACCTATGGAACTATGTTGTAAATCACCTGACACACGCGAGTAAATAGTCTGAATGCTCAAGTTTCCAAATTGGCTGCTTCTTTCTGCACCTGGTCGGACTTGCCGAGGTTGGTATTTCCTGGCCAATTTGGTGGTTTGGCAAGTAACTTGTGCAGCGGTGCAGCTTGAAAGAAGAGGATCGAAGGCGACCTGCTGGCTTTGCATTTGCGGCTGCTATGATCTTCCACATTGCTTCTATCCTGGTGAAAATCATGGTCACTTGGTCAAAGACCAACTCTGTCAAAACCACATTGCCTTGCTTCATCCCATATCTTCAACGAGTTCTTGACCTTGAGACTCTTCCATGAACAAACCAAGCCAAGGCAAGGTTGCCAAAGTCGTAGAAGCACCGCTTGCAGTGCAACCTACTAAGCTGAGGTGAATCAGGAGCCGGGCAAAGTTTGTAAAAGCTTTCTGCTTTCGCGGGATGTTGTCAAATCCTGCAAGCACACTGGCCCAACATGGCCCAAAGCCACAAAGCCACCATCACAACAACCAACTCAAGACAAGCTCACACAAACACATTTACACCTTACACCATGCATACCAAGAAACCTAGGAGTTTTTCCATCTGGGACCTGCAAGGATTGGCACTCCGCAAAGAAACGACATACTGCAAACAAGACGGACAAATCTCCAAGAGTGCAGGATCCTTCACAGTTCGCAAGAAACGAACCATGGTAAGCCGATGGGTTCCATGATTCAACTCACCTCATCTGCGGCGCAATGTCCATCTTTGGGTCTTCAATAGCTTGTCTAACATTGTCCACCTGATGAAATATCGAAGAAATCTGAAAATTTAAGATACAAGAGAACAAAAACTCAGTGGACAATGAGGAAGGCACCCAAGCATCTTGCTTTAGTTGCCCTTTGTTTGTACTCCTTGAGGAATACAACCCAATGCCCAATGTGTGCAAAGCCATAAGTAACATGGCACGAGTTGCACACTCCAAAATTGTTCTTGGTTCCTAGCTCTTTCGGCTGGTACAAATTTCCCTGTGAACAGCCAAAGAAACAAACAAAGCAAGGAAATGCTGGGAATGAATAGTTCTTCGAGAGGCTGAAGGCCTGGTACTTCTGAGCCTCTGAAACGCAACTCGTATGTGTTTCCCACTCATTCCAGGCGAAGACCTGAAGAGGAGTCTTCACCAACTCGAACTCCAAAACAACTCAACGTGAAAAACTCAGTAGGCTTAAATGAGCTAGTAAGCTTAAGTAGCTTAAGTAGTTATTACTTAGGACGCAGGAAAATTAAGGTTTCTTCAAGAAATCCCCCCCCCGCTGAGGGCGGTGAGTATCCTTGAAGAAGCCCTCGCGCTATTCATTTCGTTCCTAGGGTACTGGATTTTTCGGAGTCCAACTCAAAACAACCCACCTTGGAGCAATCAATGCAACTCACATATGAGGCACGGCAACCTCGATAAGTGTGTTCGGACGTGGAAAATTTGCAAAGTCACCACAGCCACAGGCATTGGCACATTAACGCACAAGTTAGTCAATCTCCGGTCTGAGGTTTAATCTCAACAAATGTTTTGCCAGCTTTGGTTTTTTCACCTGGCAATCGACTGAGAGAAACATGCACAATCCCATCAAGAAAATGTTTAAACAACACAAGATCTTTGAAGGCGGCCTGCATTATAATGCAATTCAACTGTCCAGATTCATGCTGCATCAACCAAAACAAATCAAAACGTTCCTCATAGGAGCGGGACTTCTCATTGAAAATGACAAGTCAAACACAGATCCAGACCACACCAGAAACAAACAAAGGGTCCAAAGCAAGAGTTGCAGCAATTCAAAACTTAAAAACATACGCGCATGTTTATTGAAGTTGGGCATCCGATGAACTGGCAACGAAACTGCATACAGTTAAAACATATTTATTGCACAGGTAGTAAAACTATTTGGCCTGTCATTTTGGATTTGACAAAGTGTCATAATTTGTTCGTTCAAATAGTTGCACCGTACAAAGATATAGATATAGAGAGAGAGAGGCTCAACTTTCAACATGTTGAGCTGTTGGGTGGAAAGCTGCGTCATGGTGCCAGGAGCACCGTTTCATTGCACCTTAAAAGAGCAATGGGACAGCGGGCTGCCAGTCTTGATCATGTTTGGTTTGGCTATTGATCTGTTTTTGGCTGGCGTTGACAGACGTTCAAGCAAGCTTTTGCGGACACCGATTCCAGCATGTCAAAACTCAGGCGCGTGCTGCCCACACTCAAAATACACCATCGTTAAAGTTGTTAAGTGCTGGGACACTTGAACACCATGGACCATGGACTTTTCATGATTGCACAGCAGTATGGATACCAATGCTAACTACAAGTGCCCAAAAAGGAAATACTACACAAGCGGATCGGACAAGTTTAGTTAAAATGCCTCTTATCCCGCTCACGAGCCACAATGCAGCATCGTCCAAGTCCACGTGACAAACATCGACTAATCCTCGAACCCACACGATCAAACTGCCCTGTTCAACCCCCCAACATCAACACTAAAAATGCATGTATGATTGCTCAATAAACGAACATATGAAAATGCGAAGCTCCTCTGTCTCGAGCCAGTGATCTGAAATGGGCCTCAGGTCGGTGCAGTACACTTTTCGATTTGCATATTATGGTCATGCCAACCTCACGCTGTGTCTGCACGCACTCTTCCTTCATGGACCAGTGGCTGCTAGTCGATTCTTGACTGCAGTTTTGTTTTGTGCACTCACTGGAAGATGTGTTCCTGTGAATTCTTTTGTGAAAACACGCAAGCCATTCTCTGATCACTCAGACTTCTTGAGTATGAGGTCGCATTTGAAGCCAGGATGCCGTCTCCCCGAACGGAGAGGAGACAGCATGAGGGGGCCTGCAATGCAAAAGTTTCCGAACTACTCTTGGGTTCTCTGAAAGCTTGCAATTGGAAATCCAAATTGTCCGGATCCAGTTCGACTGAGCCAGTTCTCAATGACTGTCCGATTGTGGGCATCCTTTGGCTGTGTGATTCTCCAGATGGTCCTCTTCGAGACGAGTCCCAAGTCTCCAACGACCTTGCCTGTTTCCAAGGATCGTCGTCGTTAACGTGGACCCAAGGTGAGGTGAGCGGCACCAGTGCCTCAAACGCCCCCAATCCGTCCGGCTCGAGTGCTCAGGAAGGGAGAAGGCATCATGCTCCGGATTCCAGCCGCAGTCAAGATTTTTGGCGATTGCCCGCAACATTGTGGTGTTGGCCTCTCTTCCCAAACAGAATTTGGAGCCCTTGCATTGGCCATGCGCTTGCCAGATCCATGACCATGATCAAATCGTGCCGTATCGAACTCATGAGCACGCCATCTGTTCGGTCAAAGCGCCTAAATCTGAAAATGTTGTGTTTTACCATGACCTGAGGGATCCGATTTCGTGGCCCGATTTTTTTTTCCACGAGTGCGGACGCCATGTGGGCGGTGTGCCCAGGTCATCGTAGAAGGATAGGAAACACAGCATATTGATGGGAAAATAACACAAAACAACCACATCCGATTTCGTGGCCCAAAAAAGCAAAGGGGAAATTGGCTGTGCAACATTCACCTTTTCAGACAAACTGAGATTTCTCCAAAAGACTTGTCGACTTGGAAAGATGGAGGTTTCTTCGAGCAAGCCAGGACAAAGTGGAGCAAAGAGATGCTGAAACATCACAACAATGTGGCTTGGCAGCTGAGCTGCACCGTCAGGCTGATCTGTTCAAGGAGGGTGATCTCCGTCGAAGGGTCCTTGGGCAACTTGATGCCGAAGTGTTCAAAGATTCTTGAAACCCCAGCTTCGACGTTGGAAGATGCGAGGTTTGCAAGAGATTGACAAGGAAGGGAGATGGAGGGCGGTTTGCACCTACGCCTGCAACGGCACTCGGTGGAAGGTGATTCCTCACTTCCTCCAAATGTTAGGTTGTGAGTGGTTGTGAGTCAGCCAATCCAAAGTTAAACAAAACCACCAAACCACCCCAACCCAAAAGCGAACCCAACAGAGAACCGCAACCTGGTATGTAGCTCACGCAGCCGTGTCGGCCAAATAAAGAGAAGGTGAAACAGGAGCAATGAATTCAGCACCGGCTCTCAGTTCATCTTGGCCACTGGGTAGTGTTGGGTTTTCTTTGTGAAGGTCTCACTCCTTTAGTTAAACAAGGTAGCACTCGCACCGCTATCTTTTCTCCTAATGCCTTGAAGTGAAAGGGCCTCATTGGGCAGAATTCAAAGTTCAACACCCCACCTTCGAGAACATGAAATTAATGCTCTCGAACCTGAACTGGCTCAAGGCCCTTCTATACAAGCTCTGCTTCTGGTTCTGCTGTGGGGTCATTGTGGCGAAGCTGACGGCGATATACAACCCTTCTTCTCACTGTTTCATTTTGCTGAACAACTATTCGATCTTCATGATCAGGTTCCGGCTGTGTTGGTCTTTCATGCTCTGTGCTCGAACTAGCTACTTGCGAACGGTCTGGAAGGCTATCCAAGCATCGGGCACATGGCGCATATCTCTTGACATTTGGAGATCTTTGTAGATAGCTACATCCCACCTGGTGATATGCAGTTCCATGAGCTGTCACTACGATCTCTCGAGGCACTCTGCAAATCATGGTTGCGGTGGGTGCTGGCGTTTGTCGCATTTCGTCGCATTGAACTCCAACACTTGTCATCTCCAATGCCCGTGTCTCATTTCTCACATGCCGGGTGCAGCCCCTGCCAAGCAAAATGCCAACAAGAAAGGCTGCAAGCATAAAAATGAAAAGCACCACAACTACTAACAAAATGAAAGAAGTTGCATCACCTGTCGATCGTCCATCTGGTTGATTGTCTGCACTGTCAGCTCCACTTGCCAAACTAGACATTACGCATACCTGAAGAATTCGCTTCACGAGTGCTGTGTCCCTTGAGGACAGGCTTTGCTCATTCTCGAAACTGTACCTGAAAACTTTGAGAGCACTTTGAATTTCTCACGGAAATGCTGGTCATGTTGCTGTCGCTCAAGCTCATCTCTGCCTACCAAGGAAAAATCCTCGTGACAATCTACCATGCCAAGGAGTCCCAAGAGAAAACTGAGACGGTTCACCTGCAACGACTTGGTTCCCAAATCTCCAATGTTCACCATTGAAGCGACTGGTCCTAATCGAAAACATTTCTCTGCCAGCTTTTGTTGCACCCCTAGGTGTCGAACACGGCCCAATCCCTGTCTCTTTGCAATGCCTCGTCCAGCAACACTGTCGCTCCTCAACTGAATCTGAACTTTGTCTCGAAGTAAAAACTCCAAACAAGCTCTGACATAGAGGGATTCGCCAGCTCCTGCGACTAAGGCCATGAATTCACTCTCGCCACTGGAAAGAGCAGGTGTTCGTTGTGTTCGGCTCCAGGAATAGATGGCATTCCCATCCAAAAGAATCACACCTGCACTTGTGCTTTTTCTATTTACATGTCCAGCCCAGTCTGCATCCGTATAGCATTCCAAGATGGTTGGATTCCCTTCAACATACTCCTCATAGCCACCAACCGCTCCCAGCCATGTTGTACCAGGAGGATTGCTCTTCAACTGCACTGCATAACCCATTGTTTGGATCAGGTACTGACCACAACGCAAAAGACCTTTCCACGCTAAGTCTGTTGGTTTGCTCATGTATGCTGCTAGCAACTTTGTACAATATTGGATGTCTGGTCTGTCACTGCTGATGTACAAAATGATGCCAACGGCTTTGCGATATGTTTCCGCTTTCGAGCTTTCCAACAAATCTGTTCGGTCTTCCTTGCATAGATCTGGATGTACAGGACCCTTCAACTTCTTGCCAAAAGAGCTCAGTTTCAACAACTTCTCCAAAGCCAGAAAATGCTTCTCATTTGGACGGATAGCAATTCCAGCTTCATTGAAATGAAAGTATTTCTTCAAGAACTGACATGTATCTCCTGGCTCATGGAATGGTCCTTGAACGTCCATAGTGAAAGCTTGCTGAAGGGCTTCCACAATTGCTGTTCCTTCCTTCTTTGGCCCAACAAACTGTAAGTCGTCCACATGCATTGAAAGGAGTCCGTGAGCATGTCGAAGTAGGCATGGACAGGCTTGACACACTTCAAACCCATGCTGCTTGAATGTGGAAACTGCAAACTTCCACCACTCCTGGGCGGCAACCCTTTGACCCGGAAGCAACCTGTTGAGCCTCCACTTCATTCCAGGATTTTGTTCAAGCCAAATGCCTGGTGGTTCGACGTATACCTCTGTAGGTTGAGGAACAAGTAGGTAGGCGTTCTTGACGTCAATGGACCACATGCTCCAACCCTTCTGCAAACAAATGCTCGAAAGAATCTTTGCACAAGCCACACTTGAAGCAGGAGAGTAAAACTCATCACGCCAAGGCTCCAACCACTTGAATTCTCGACTGACAAAGCGAGATCGCCTTTTCCACTGACCATCACGCCACCTCCAGTCCCTCACATAACGTGTAGACATGAAGGCCTTTCCAATGGTTTCATCAGCAGAAACTGGTGTCAGGACTTCAGCTTTCATGAGGTTGGCAATCTCTTCATGATCTCCCTTGAGTTCTAATGCAGCAAGGTCTTCTGGGCTGAGCTCAGGTGGTGTCTCTCCCAAAAAATTGTACTGCTCGAACTGATCAAACTCTTCATCGCTTGGAAGATAGTACTCCCAACCATCGCCTAGTTCATCCCCATCTGGCAAGACCTCACCATTGACTTGCACCATTCTGAGAACTTGTCCAGTTTGGTCTTGCTTATTGGGGCTTTCCTGAGAAGCTTCCGCGAAAGATGGTAGCATGTACCTCTTGTGCTCCTGACTGTCTGATTCTTCAAGAGGGCTTGCATCTCTCTTGAAGCCACGGCTATCTGATGAAGCTGCCTGAGGATCAGGCTGCGGAGAAGGAGTGGTACTCATCTCTGTCACTATGGGCGTCTGAGGAACTTGGTCAAGAACAGCTGGAGGGATTCCAGCTAACACTGCAGAAGGAGGGGGTTCAGCTAAAGCTTTCGGTTTTGGTGTCAATGGCACCATCTCATTGATCACCTCCACGGGTGGCACAGGTAGGTCACTGTCGGCATCACTATCCCCACCTGCAATGGCATCTTCTCTAATGGCCACAACCTTCTGTTTGAGTTCCTTCAGCGAGTCATCTGCAATCAAAGCCCTTGGTTCCCATGGCAATCCTCTCATGACATAGAGGTGCATCACATTCCATTCTCCATCAATACGCTTGACAGTTCGTGACTCACAGATACCCGTAGGTGTACCAATGATGTGCCTGTCAGAGTCCTCATTCTTACCAAGCCAAATGCCTCTGTACCATGCTATATCTCCTTTCTTCTTGCTGTTCTGTAAAGAACTGGTTCACAAAACTTGCACAACTTGCCTTGATATGGTGCTCCAGTCACCTGCTCATACGCTGTCATACCAACCTGCTTCTGCACCTGAAAGCGTTGAATCAGAAAGCTTGCGTGACTGAAGCACCAAGGCCACACATAGGCATGATTATCAAGCTTGACCTTGTAGTTCTTTTCAACATCCAACCTAAGGCACATTGCCTGGCGACGAATGGTCTGGATCATGCGCTCGACTCTGGCGTTCCCAGTTGCATGGCCCACACCTGCTGGGGCATATGTCGACAATGTACGAAGGCCTAGGGCAGCTCGAGTGGCAATGATAGACTCTTGCAATTGTTTGCAGCTTGGTTCATTGTCAGATTTAAGGCACACCTCATCGTATCCCAATCTACTCAAAAATCTGCAAACTGCTTGCGTGAGTTGCTTCAAAGAACGAGTACCCTTTTCAGCAATTGGAACTGCAAGGCATGATCGAGTCCAGTTATCCACACCAACAAAGGTTGTCACAACAGGAGCCTCCAAAACAGGAATCTCTTCGCTAGAGACATCTGTGCACTTTGTGATTGCATAGTCAAAATTGAAGGTAGGTACACTGCGCATCTCTTCACCAAGGCGTGGAAGTGAAAATGCTCTGTCCTCCTTTGCCTTTGTTGCCATGCAAGTCTCACACCAAGGCTCTGTGGGAACGTGCGTGAGCTCATGTGAAACTACCAACTCTTCACTCGGTCGACTGGCCAGAGTCACTGCTGACGGCACACGGCGGTCCAATTGAAAAAGTTCCTTGCTCACATCTGCAGCCATCTTGCTTTCAAACTCGTGCAAATGAGTAGTGAGCCTCTTCCAGCATTTTGCTTTTGAACCAGTCTTACCAATTTGAAGAAATTCACACGCTTCTCTCATCACCTTCAAGGTGCTCTCTTCTGTAAGTTCCACTCCACCAACCTTGATCTTGCTCGGAGGGGCATACTCTACCACAGGGTCATGCGGCACAGCTTCAATGTTTGGACTTGCTTGGATTTCACACTCTCGGGTCTCCTTGTGTTCTAGGCGCGGCTCTTCTCTCACGTTGTCTGGAGATGAACTCTGATCTTCATTGCCTGTTTGGTCAACTTGCATGGACTCAGCTTGGGACTTGGTCTGCTGAACTCGAGGGCGGAGAAATCGAAACCTCTCAGGACACTCGGAAGGAGACCTGAAAAACAAATGCCACGGCAACGCACCTTGATGCAAAATGGTGATCATGGGACATCCAGTTCTACCATGTCTGCCATATGGCATGACCTCCTCAACATACAACTGGTTGCCTTCCACGATCAACCATTTGCCTTCAATGTACAACAAAGTGGTCCTGTAAGGCCATGCGTCTGGGATGTATGCAGGCAGGCCGGACTTGAATCTGACACTGTTCTTGCTAAAATGCACTGGAAACCAAAACTCTTCGCTCTCGAAACAATGCCAGCCTTCACGACGTTGCACTCCAGAAAATTCACTCAAAAGAGCCACAGGAATGTCATCACTGGTCAGAGCCCGGACAAAAGCACATGCCTGCACAGAGTTTTGTTTGTAGTCCACATCAATTGCAATATCCTCTTTCGACAAAGCCAAGTGGGAGGTTGCAGTCTGATTCAAGCTCCAGCCGTTCTGGAAGAACTTGCCCAAACAAAGAATTGGCTGCTGCACAGGTCCTAAAAGAAACTTCTCACGTACCTCCACCACGTCACCGGAGGGACCAAGGAGATCTAAGGTCAAAACAACTTCACCTGACACAGAGATTTGGTTTCCTTGGGCATCACGGACATTCTGCTTTGACTGCATGCATGGTGTTCCATATGAAGCATACTCAAATGGAGCTAAGGAAAGGTCAGCGCCCGAATCAAGGATCACTTCCACCATGTCACGGCTTTCTGACTCCTCTTCGGCATTGTCCCATACACTGACAGGACGCATGTGGGCAATGGCAGCATCACATTCACAGTCTCTCAAATCATAAACAGGGGTCAAAGAAGCATCAAAGAAAGTCCAGTCCTCTTCATCATCACGATGGGCCATGTCAAAGCAAGGCACGGAACATGGACCACACTGAACCATTCGAACCACCCCATCACTGCTCGACGACATGTGAGTGAAGTCTACCAAAGCTACCCGTCGAATTGTTGCACCACCTGGTTGAGAGGTGGTTGTTGTAGCAATGCTCGGATTGTTTTGACCTGGACTGGGCTCAACAGGTGGCTGTTGCTCAACTTGCCGCACTTGCCTCTTGCTCCAACAATCTTTTGAAAGATGTCCAGCTTTACCACAATTCCAGCAAACAGAATCTGTTTTGTTGCCACCTTTCTCAAAACCCTTCTTTCCAGAGTCTCTGTCTTTCCCTTTTCCTCCCTTTCCTTTGTAAGGAAGTGGGGGGCCTTTCACTTTGCCCTTTCCTTTTCCTTTGGCGTCTCCTTTGCGCTTTCCCTTACCTTTTCCTTTTCCCTTTTCGACCCGATCCACGTCCATAGGGCCTCCAGTGTCTCCTGAAGGCTTGAATGGTTCTGAACCCAGAGTGCCACCAACCACGCTGCTTGCATTCCAGTTGACTGAAGCCCGGTCATACGCCATCAACGTGTGGCGAAGTCCAGTGTATGTTGTGGCAGAGCTCAAGGCCAACTGCAGCTGAGGTTTGATGGAAGCTGGGGCATTACGTAGCAATGTTGCTATCTTCAACTCCTCACTGAACTTTGTACCACCACCAGCTGCTAGCTCATATTCATGCACAAGCCTTTCAAACTCGGAAATGCCTTCTGTGATTGTACGTTTGCCAAACTGAAAAGAAGTCAAACCATCCAACAATGCTAGCGCTCTCTGTCTGCTACGTGGTTCTAGGTGTGTCACTAAAGCACCCCAACCAGCGTAGCCGTTGTGAAGCTCAACTGCACGAATGATTTTCAGAGTTGGACCTCTAATGTACGTAGCTAGGATTGCATACAACTTCATTGACCTTGTCCTCATGGCATCACTCATTCCACTAAGACCTGGAACACGATCTGGATTGTCTTCTACCATTGAAAGATCTGACATGTATCCGGTGTCCAAATACCCAAGCCAAAGCCTCATCTGAAATGCCCATTCCGGCCAATTTCGAGTCTGGTCGTCACGTTTCTCGTGATCAAAAACAGCTGGCTGCTTCAAAACCTTGGTAACGTCCTCAGGCCTCGACGCAGACGTTCCAGCTGTAGACGAAGCAACAAATGCTTGCATTTGTTGGACTGCATGTACTGCTGCATTGGTTGCGCTTTGAGAATTTTCAGTAAGACGCTGAAACATTGCAAACACTTGGCCTGCCTGAATGCCTGTTCCATCCGATCCTTCAGCTCCCGGTGCACCAGTGAACTCAAGTTCTGGAAAATCCTGCGAACCTCTCTCGTCAGCCATTGCAAAAATCACTGCAAAACAGCAAAAGAAAGATTGGACTCCACAACAATTCAACAAAGGCGCGGGCGCTCAACGATGGCTTCGGGCTACGCGGATCTAGAGCGGATTGGGTCCTGTCCGCAATTGGGCTCAATGGTTTCTCGCCCCTGGAGCTCCCCGGAGAGGCCGAAGCCAATCCGGATCTCAGCTCCGCTACCAAGTTAAACAAGGTAGCACTCGCACCGCTATCTTTTCTCCTAATGCCTTGAAGTGAAAGGGCCTCATTGGGCAGAATTCAAAGTTCAACACCTTTTGAGGTTCATCCTTGCCGACAGCGAAACGTCCTGTGTCAGGACGCCGTGGACGAGATTGCATTTGGAGAGCATTGTAAGCCGACTAGACAACCTTGCATTCTCGATTCCGCACTGGAAAGAAACACCCCAATGGCGACGCCCGTCCCGGCCACAAATGAGGAGACGCTTAAAACGCTTAAAACACCTGAGGCCACGGCGGACCCTGAGTGTGACGAAGAGGAGGTAGAAGATGACACCTACGTGCCACCTGACGGGGAAGGCTGCTTCTCCTTTCGGCAAAGCCTTCTGCTCAGAGCAAAGGACACCTACTCTGCTCGGAGCACCGGAAATAAGTATGAAATCATCTCCAATGGCTCCTCACGGGCCTGGCAGTGGTTCTCTCGCGGTCCAATTGGCACATCCTTGCCAAAAAATGCACGCTTACGATCACTCCCAGAGATCTACTCAGGGTCTACTACCAACGGGGATACCCGGCTGACCTCGTGGATAAAGCGAAACTGCCGTACACCCTCCTTCAACAGAACGCCATCACTGCTGCAGAGTGGCAGCACATCGTCACGTGGTACAGTCACTCGAGGTATCTTCAGGATGCGGAGGCTGTCACCACAACACGCTCGCGGTTAGGAATTGATGTTTTTTACACCACAATGGATCAAACAAACCCCATTACAGCCGCGCAGACGGATTCACAAACCGAGCAAAATATGGACACCACGAGCGCTGCCTCTGGCCCCCAACCCTCTGGGATGCCTGACACCAGTCAAGTACTGCCCTAATAAGCAGGGTAACTAGTAGCAAGAGTGGCAGCTTTTGGCTCAAACCCACAATAGCTGAAATTCTGGAGCTACTCGTGGATGGGTAGCATGTACGACAGTTGCGACGATGAACTTGCCGGCACCTGCCCTTGTCCCCTCAAGCTCGTCACTATGGCAGGCAATGAAATACACATAGTCGTTCCGGTAAGCATCCACCATAATTGGGAAATGCTAGAAGACTATTTGATTGAGCAGTTATCCAAGAGCTACGGCCTGGATACCTTTGGATGTGAACTAACTCTCCTGACGGTAGATACTCTCCGCACACTGTGCGACCCAATCCATGAAGAGCTTTGGGATATAATCCGAACGGGAAAGATAGAAGATAAGAAACAATATTTTCAAATAGAAGGCAGTCATTTTGGGGAAGTTGGGCCATGGTTCCAAATAGAAGAAACTGACAACGTCCAGAGAATCTCCGCAGACCGATTTTTACGATTTCGGGCACTTCAAATAGAAGATACTGCTCAGCAGAGAGGCTTCAATTAGAAGAAATTGACAACGGCAGCCCTGGCCAGTCCAATCTTCTGTGAAAACTACTCAGTAAAGGAGAGGAGAGAGGGGAGGAGAGAGGAGAGAGGAGAGAGGAGAGAGGAGAGAGGAGAGAGGAGAGGCGAGAGGAGAGGCGAGAGGAGAGGCGAGAGGAGAGG